GGAGGGAGGGGGCGGTTTACCAGGGGATGCCAAGCGCTAAAGGAGGTGTAACGCGGCTCAGCATGGCACCGTGCCCCCCTTCCGTCCCAAACCGCTCTTATAGCTGGTCTCCCCTTTCCCCTCCAGCTTGGGTCACCGGAACTTCCCGGACCCGGTGACCCTGGACCCCGCTTTAACTCCTTTCTCCCCTGTGTGGGCGCAGGTCGATTTGAACCCAACAGAAAGGACCACCCCCTCCAATATGGGGCTGGCTGGCGGGAGGCTGAGGCTGGAGTGGAGAGGGTGTCCAAAGAGAGTCCCAACAGAGAGAGCAACAAGAAATCCCAGGGACCCAGGAGTCCTCTGTCCTAGTCGCTACTATCCCAGGCCCTAACAAACGGCCGGAATTACGTCTGGGTGAGATCCACGTACCTTGGAAGATAGAAGAAAGAGGAAGAAGAAATGTAGAGCTGAGAGGAGAGACTGGCTAAAATCATATCTAATGACTGTTGACCTAGAATTGCTCCCCCTTCATCCTTATTTGGGGACAAGAATCCAAGGCCTGGGCCCCACTTACCATGATCTGCGGAGAGACAAGGAGTGGGTGATTATGGCAAGAGACCTTGGTGCCAATTTGTCTCAGGCTCTTTCAGGTCCTGCAGCCCTGGACAAATCACTACACCTTCTCTGTAAAATGGGGTTGCCAGTACTGCGGTGTCTTAGTAGCCTGGGATTATTGGGAGGATGAGGGAGAATGAAGTAAAATAATGGATTCCTGGGGCTTTTGGAGATGTAAGGTGGTGTGCAGGGGTTAATCATGACAGGAGGACCTGTTACCTTCCTAATCTACCCCTTTCCTTGTTTTCACAAAGGAGAATCGAGAAGTAGAATGGAGATTTCAGTAGCGATAGTAGGGTTCAGTAACCCCAATATAAGGCCCACCTGTGGGCTGTGGAGTACACTGACTCCTCCTCCCCACCCTGGGTTCTGCAACAAGTGGATGGCCCTCCTAAGCTGTTTCTCTGATCACATCACTTTGAGAGAGATTGCAGATGAAACCTATTAGCATTGTGCCATGAGCAGATCCAATCCTAAGCAGGGTTCCCATCTCCCCGCTGAGCACAGGAGAGCCTGGCATGACAGAGAAGGCATGGGTTTTGTAGTAAGAAATACCTGGATTTTCCTTTTCTGTTACCTCACTTAGCTGTAAAATGACAGTGACACTCATTGTGTTGTGAGGAAATGGCATAAATTTTGCTCCCCCCCCCCTTTAAACCTTCTGAGCTCTGTTTAGCAGCCAGGAAAATTCAGACAGAGATGGGGTGATCAGCTGGAGCCAGCATTCAGATCTAGGTTTCTTGAACCCCAGAATATTCTCCTTGGGTTTTTGCATTGAGTACTCCAAACCAGGAGGGAAGAACTATGGGTTGTACAGTCATATTAATTTTTTTTAACTTTCACAACTCTGCATTCACCCAGCCAATATACTATCTCTCATGTGCTTACTATGTTCTAAGCTCCAAACCTGCTGTAGTACAGTGTAAGCCAAAGAAAAGGTTCCCACTCTCAAAGAGCTTATTTCTTAATGCCTTCATTTGCAAGTTGCAAACATTAATTCACGTAATTTTCACAATTGGATTATGGACATATTAAGATTAGATACACTTTACAAAGGAGAACATTGCAGCACTAAGAGATTAAGAACCACAGTGGTGCAAAAACAAGCTAATGTCTTTGGTGACCTATTCTGCACTCCAGGGGCTCCCAATCTACTGAGAGAATGAACAAAATGTAGCTTTTGTCTGTTACCCGCCCTATTATTATCTTTCACTTCACTAATCTCCCCCGCTAATAAAACATCATTCCAGAGAATACAGGACGCCTGCAAGGACCGGGCCACTCTAGCAAAAACCCCTATCCCGCCTGCGCAATGCAGCTGACTTCCGGCTCCCACTAACCACGTGATCAAGCGAGCACCCGGGCTGTGCACGTCTAGAAGGAAGTCGGACTCTACCACTTTGCCTTACCAAAGGGATATATTTTCTGTATTTTTAAGTTTAAAAAGATTCCCGATACTACGCTTCTCTTACCTGGGGTCTTTACACAGGATATAAGTAAGTTTATGGTGGCGGAAGGTGAAAGGACATGAGGGAAATACTGGTGAAAGCGGAGCGGGGGATGGGCTCTCCCCTTTACAGATAATGGGAAGAGCCGGGGTGAGATCTTTCCTTTCCGCGCTGCGGCAGCAGCCATGAGGTGAGGGCTCGTGGGTCTCCGGCCTGGGTCGATCCGGGCTGCCAGGGGACGGCGGGGCTCGGTACCGTGGCTCAGGGTGGGCGAGCTGAGGTGGAGGCAGCCCTGAAGCGGCCGATCCCGGAGCTTGGGGTAGGCCGAGGCTCACTAGGCCCCGGCCTCGAGAAGATGGGGGTGGGGGAGCGTCCCGAGAACTTTAGGCCGGGGGAAGGACGAGCACCACATCGCACACGTGTCGGGTGATCCACGCAGGCAGAGGAAAGGTAGCGACGGTGACTAGGCTGTGGCCCCCGTACTCTCAGGGCGCACCTGCATCCGGGCGGATCTCTGGATCTATGTGACTTAAGTCCCAGGCCTCCGACTGCCGAGTGAAGCGATTCCTAGCATCCCCATAGGCCGCTCATAAGAAAACTCTAAGGCCAGCTGAATTTAGTTTATTACTGTGATGAGACGAAGAAAACGAGCCCGGGAAGCAAAGGACTGGACTAGCAAATCAGGCCTACTGGCCTCCGATTCTTCGCGCTAAACACTTGTCACCAGAATGGGCATAAGCCCCCTCTTCATGCTAATTTTAACCTTTATCCTCATTTTCCAGAGGAGAAAGATCTTGATATAGGAAAGATTCCTAATCTGGGGGTGTGGTGGCGTGGGTGGCAAAAGTCCTAGTGGAGGGAGCCGCGTTTGCTCCTAACACTTAAGTGCATATGTACATCCACTTTTCCATGTGCTGTGTTTCACAACATTAGAAGACTTTGAAGGGGATGCTCATTCTTGCCCAGGAATGGCTTCCAGGGCCTGATACTATTTTCTGTTTGTCACAGTATGCTCAGGCTTCAAAAGAGGCTTGCCTCCAGTGTTCTCCGCTGTGGCAAAAAGAAGGTCTGGTTGGACCCCAACGAGACCAATGAAATCGCCAATGCCAACTCCCGTGAGTTTTTGGGTCTATGTTTCTTATTATTATTCATAAGATGAGTGATGACACAGTTGTGTTGACTCTTAAACCTAGGAAAGCTCATAGTCTGAGAAGTTTTATAAAATAGAGGAGCCACAGAAATAATGAAGATGCCAGAGGTTTATTCCTGCCATTTGCCAAAATGACAGGATAGAAGTTAATGGACAAAATGTAATTGAAAAAGAAAAAATTTTAATTAAAAAATCAATAAAAGAGCTAAGATTTCGTTTTAGCTCTTCCTAAAAATAAGGGGACCACCCAATGTTATATTAATGTCTATTCCTAGAGTGGATGTTATGTTTTATAGCTCTGTGAAGGATTTGTGAAGAGACAGTATAGGGACTGGGGAGTAGGGATGGCCAAGGTAATGATGAAGTGGGAAGACCTGGGGCCTCAGACTTCAGTAGAGCCTGTTGGCATATTCAAGGCAAACAGATGTCAGTCCTACAGATAGCATCGACATACCCACAATACTTCCATGTAATACAGAAAAAAAGTATTCGATGACATTTGTTAAAGATGGTAAAGCAGACTTTATTTGGGATCATTGCCATAGGTACAGGGACCTAGAAGTAGGGGAAAATTCTTTTTAATGAATAACAAACAGTTCTGTTATTTACAGCTATTTTTGAAATCACTGGGCTGGGGATTTGAGCAGTGTCTATGGCCTGTCCTATTTAAACTCTGGGTTTTCACTGGTATTCTTGGGGCTAGGCCCTACCTGACTGACCAGGTGCATTATGTTTTTCCAGGTCAGCAGATTCGGAAGCTGATCAAAGATGGGCTGATCATCCGGAAGCCTGTGACTGTACATTCCCGGGCTCGATGCCGGAAAAACACCTTGGCCCGCAGGAAGGGCAGGCATATGGGCATAGGTTAGTGCTTTCTTCTTCCTCTAAGACTTAAGAAATATGGACTGAAATACACTCAAGGTCTTTTTCTTCCCATTCTGTCTAATCTTAAGCCCTTTTCTTACTCTGATATTTGATGTGTTCTCTCTGTGCAAATCAGAAAGTTGGCAGTGGTGTCAAAATTGAAGTAGAGTATTG